CCTTCTGGTGCTCACTCACCGCAAGAGTATCGACAAACTCACCGAAGAGGAGAAGGCTTTGCCGCGAATCAGATCTTTCAATGAGTTAGAGTTCGGCACTAAAGAGGCCACCGGTGGTGGAGGTGCTCCAGAAGCCCCCAAAGATGCCCCCAAAGACACCTCCAAAGACGCCTCCGGATGAATGAGTGAATCACCGATTCCTCCAGAGAGACATTCATTTGATTTACATTTCATTTCTAAGTGATCTCTCATTCTCTGCTTTTATTATAAATTCTTTTCTCGTATTTTCGAAAAATAAAGTAAAGTTTGACTCAAATATCTCTTTATTTACAAAATGTATACAAAAAATTGTTGAACTTATCAATTACTATCAAATTATTCCTCGCGATAATAAAGTTTAGTTTGATTGAAATTTTTATATTCAAAAGTTTGTCTCAATTTTCATTTCATTTACTCCTCTAATCAAACTCCAATCGAAATGTTCTCAAGAACTTTGTTAAACATAAGCATTAATTGCAGAAAATATAGCAATTTTTATCGGAAAATCTCCATGAATTCAAATAGAGTCCACATGAATAGAAGTCCAATGATTAGATATCTATCAGATGGCAAAAGTGAATCCACTTACGAAATACCCCCACTCATGGAAATCCATTCTCAAGATATCGAACACCCCTTCTTAACTCAGTTTAAGATTCACTTCTTTCTAAAACCAATGATCGATAAAGACTTCACATATAAGAAGTTCCTGTTGGGGGCTAAACAGGTACTCATTGAATGGCATATGAAATACAAACTAATACAAAGAATTACTAATTTAAGGCTATTTCTGTCATTTCTAATCATTTGTCTAATGATAATATCGATGGTATTAAACCATTTGTCACAAATGAGGTTAAAACTTAATTTTATATTTTATAGATTTACTGTTTGACTATTAATATTCTGTATTTCCAAGGCTTATAAAGAGATTTCCAAAAATTATATGAAATATAATTCTACACAAAAACAACTGCTAAAAGTGATTACCGAAGATATTACATTTTGTTATCCATATAGTATTGAAATCAAGAAAATTAGTAAGAAAATTAGGATTTAATTGTAATTGAGTTTTATAGAAATTAATATTTGAATTATTGTTCTCTGGTTTAACTCCCAAACGAATAAAAGTTAAAATACTTGTTATATTTGATGTCTTAAAAAACCCTAAAGAAATTAAAGCAAAAACAAGTCAACAAGTGATTGACAAAGACTTGAAATCATTTGATTTCAAAACAAACAAACAATTGTTGAAACTACTTCTTGATGACAAATATTTATGCATTTACCAGTTCATTATAAATTGATCTAATTTATAGTATATTATTTGTAATTTAACACTATTATAAAATTCATAATTAGATTCAGTCGTGAGTATGAGTCTGGATTGTCCAGTTTTTTATAGATTTACTGTTTGACTATTAATATTCTGTATTTCCAAGGCTTATAAAGAGATTTCCAAAAATTATATGAAATATAATTCTACACAAAAACAACTGCTAAAAGTGATTACCGAAGATATTATATTTTGTTATCCATATAGTATTGAAATCAAGAAAATTAGTAAGAAAATTAGGAATTAATTGTAATTCAGTTTTATAGAAATTAATATTTGAATTATTGTTTTGTTTAGCGCCCAAACGAATAAAAGTTAAAATACTTGTTATATTTGATGTCTTAAACAATTCTAAAGAAATTAAAGCTAAAACAAGTCAACAAGTGATTGACAAAGACTTGAAATCATTTGATTTCAAAACAAACAAACAATTGTTGAAACCACTTCTTGATCACAAATATTTATGCATTTACCAGTTCATTATAAATTGATCTAATTTATAGTATATTATTTGTAATTTAACACTATTATAAAATTCATAATTAGATTCAGTCGTGAGTATGAGTCTGGATTGTCCAGTGATTGGATTGTCTCCAAACTGGTCCACTATAAGAACAAAGACATTTGGAAAACACTCGAGCAATCAAAATAAGCACCAATTTAGACACTTTGATAACATAATAAAATTTAATCTAAATTCTTTATATAAATTATAAAATAAAAAGATATTGTCTTTATTATAAATGTGTTAGTTTACTTTTAATCTACAAATATTGGTGAAGTTATATGACTTATTATTTTAGTTTATAAATCGTGAATTAAATTCTAAGTCTTATAAAATAAATATTTTATAATTATATACTTTATAATTCATAAAATATGAATACGATTGATAAATACAAGAATTTAGTGCTGATTCTGTATTTGTGAATAAATGCATACAATATTGAATACAAATATTATAGTCAACGCCTATAACTGTCAATATATGAAGAGTGAGTTCTGGATGTGTTGCTGTCGATGACATCTTTGTGTTCAAAGGCTGGGTTCACATAAGAGGATCCATTAGAGCAGCGAACCACAGATATGGGGCTATTAGGCTCTCGTTTGCGGAAATATCTGGCACTTCGTCTCAACAAATTAACTCTTGGGATATGAAAGTACTTCCAAAACCAGGCGTTCTCTTCCTCTTCAGTCAAACTTATCTGAGACTCACTTTCATAGGACTCGTCCTTTTGATTATTACATTGATCTCTGAATCGATTCAATTGTGTGCAACAAATATAGAGTGCAAATCCAATGCCGATAATTAAGCTGACGATTATATCTTCGACGTGATTCTCATGAGTCGACACTTTACCACAGATGACAATCAGTAGGCAAATAAGTGTGGAGACAGTGAACCACAGTTTGACAATTCTTCCCGATTTGAAGGTTACCATAGAATTGATGTATAGAAGCATAAAGAATGCCGAATAAGTGGCTATCGATGCGGTCGATGAGGGGAATGACATTCTCGACTCACGTATGAGTGATGTCTCGTTTTGACAAAGAACTGAGTCATCGAAGTCATTTGGATCAATCCATATGTGTCTGAATTCAATGTGTGTTTTCGGATCAAATTCAACGCCTGTGTTCTCTATTGACAATCGCTTACAGATCTCAGTAATAGTTTGGCAAATATGAAGGAAATGAGGTCTTAGTCGTCCACTAATTAGCTTTAATGTGTCCGTCAGTATACTCGTGGTGAGCAGTCCATAAGCAAAGCCGCCTAAAATTAGTAATAAGTTTTTAAATATTTTATTTAGTGGATATCGTATATCTTTAAACTTTAAATATATTACCAATAAATCTGAATATTCTTCTCAAAGCCATATGTATTCTGCAAGTAATACAACCGGTTTGGGCGGCGATTACTTTCTTTCTTTTGTTTCCAGACTTTGCAATCATTCGTAATATTTCACAGACTATTACCTGAAAATACATTATTTTACTTCAAAAATAAGATTTAAAACTTTAAATCTACGGAATCTATTCAGTATTAATGACAAAGTTATTCAATACAATGTATTTAAATAATAAACTTAAACGTGATTTAGGTTTACATTGAAATTTTATTTATTAAAAATAGTATTGTATTTCTTTTATGCTGTTATGAAATATGATTTTTAATATTAATACTTCTTACTTCAAAAAATAAATCTTTGAATTTTTAAGTATTTTGTCAAATAAACAATAAAATGTGATTAAATATGAATTTGTTACTAAAAGTCTGAGACCAGTCTATTGTAAAATATCTGGAAGTTAATAAACAGGAAATATTTGTAGGCATTCTTCAAAATCAATAAATTATATTTTGATGAAAATCTTATGAAATGTAATTTGTTTGCAAACATACGCAAAATGTTATTTGGAGTTCAATTACATAATAATAAAACTATAACCAAACCAATTCATTCTTAAAACTTATGAATTATTTAACCATTGATTTTATATGTCGAGTCATTATTTTAGTTTCAATTTTTGAAAAAATAATTTTTTATATCTTTTAAAAACATCACTTAATTCTGTTTGGGTTTTGATTATAATGAATGAATGAATGAATGAATAAAATAAATTAAATGCTTTTTGAATTCATTATAACTACACTGTTTTGATGAGAATAACTGTTTAATCAATTTCTCTATAGTTTAACGAACTTTTCATCAAATGATTCATAAGAAGGGCTCGAATTCATAAAAAAGAGATAAATAATTCAAAAGTTGTTTTATTTTTCGGTATATAAAACCCATATAAGTCTTGAAATGTGTAATTAAACGAAACAAATCTAATGAGGGTTTCATAAAACACAACACAAATGAGCTATTCTTCTCTCTCTCTCTCTCTCTCTCTCTCTCTCTCTCTATTTCTCTCTCTCTTTGTAAAGTCTAATAAAAAATAGTTTTCTCTTTATTTTACATAAAAAACAAATTATATAATGAATTAATTTTTGTTTTAAAATGAGATTTAGAGTACGAGTAAGTGTTTTACAAACCATTATAACGGGAACTCCGATAGTAATTGAATAGAAGAGCTCATCACTAAATGCGGTCATCACTGGCTTTGAATGATCACCAAATGTTGGCCGAAATGGCAACGATATACTCTTATCGTCACAATAGAAACCTCTTATAAGTACACCAAACGAATCGGTGAACCGCAGAAAGTAGGCCAAACTGGACAGACATACGAGTGATAGGAACTCCATGATAAAAATGGGCAAAATGTTTGCCGACACTTTTGTTTCGACGATTTCATTGTTCAACACTTGACTCTTGTCTTTCAATATATCGTTTGTGACGAGAATCCTGTCATCATTAGAGACTATGGTGTCGGACAGGGGTATTGAATCCATGGCTATGGAGTGCCGGAAGAGCGTTGAGTTGCCGGTCGAGCGCAGCGACAACGGGGCCGACGATCGCAAGGAGTTGGCGGCCGATGGCGGCGGCGGTCCTGATGTGGGCGGACACGAGTGGCGGTTCACGTGCTGATGATAGCGCGGAATAGAGCCGTTTGTGTGCATTGTTTGTGTGTTTTGGTGTTTGTAGAGGTTTGCTGACAATTACTCAAATCATTGATTGATTGCACACTTCCAGCAATTTGTAAAACATATCATTCATTCAAAGCACTCACTGCTGGCGTTCATCAGCGAAACGCCCGACTCTTTACGACTCGCTGTACTAACAGTACTACTAATACGTGTATAATATATGATGTTTTATACAACAAAAAAAGAAAGCAAACCACAACTCAAAATACAAGAACTCTTTATTTATTGCAAAACAATCCAAATGTGGTGTTCAGAGGAGGAAGTTTGTATTGAAGTTTATTCTGTGGTATGAGTGCTCACTCACACTCCCGGTGCTCTTTATACGTGTGTTGCCCCTCTCTCTCCAGACCTGATTTGCACAAAACATACAAAACTTGTTCAGAGGAGGAAGTTTGTATTGAAGTTTATTCTGTGGTATGAGTGCTCACTCACACTCCCGATGCTCTTTATACGTGTGTTGCCCCTCTCTCTCCAGACCTGATTTGCACAAAACATACAAAACTTTTTTTAATGCAAACTTTTATCGTCAAAAATTGTTTTCTCATTTAAAGCACAAAATTCATACAACACTTCGTGACAAATATTAAATATAAATAGTACTGCAGGTATTGGTGTGGACTGTGTTGTGGTGTATGTATGGACTGGATGGTGGAGTTCTTTTGCACTGTTAGCTTATGGTGTGAGTGCTCTGTAAAGCAATTCAACGGAATAACCATATATTGAGTTGAATTAAAATTCATAGACACGACTGACTCTGCTTTTAATGAGCGCAGAGTTATTGCAGAGAAAATTTCAAGTAATTTAATACACAATAATATTATTTGTGGTATTTTTCACACGAATTTACTCTCCATTTACTATTTATAGTAGTTTTTCAGCAAAAATATTATTCATCTCTAATACTGTATAGAGTATTGTACTCTGACTTACTGTAGGCTCATATTTGTCGCAAATTCACAAACAGTTTGCCTATTGTTTGTCAACTACTTAACAGTTCTCTCACTCCTCCCGAGCCCTCTTATACTGTCATCGATATTGATCTCATGCCTGCCTTTGGTTTGCATAGAGTCTGAGACCTGTGTTTATATTTACAAAACTTATTGTCAAATATTTTCTTTAAATAATAATTTCTTTCTTATCATTATTTGTGGTCAAAATCAGCAAATATTATTCTCACCGAAATTCTCACACAAAAATGTGAATCCATTTATGTATGGACTGGATGGTGGAGTTCTTTTGCACTGTTAGCTTATGGTGTGAGTGCTCTGTAAAGCAATTCAACGGAATAACCATATATTGAGTTGAATTAAAATTCATAGACACGACTGACTCTGCCTTTAATGAGCGCAGAGTTATTGCAGAGAAAATTTCAAGTAATTTAATACACAATCATATTATTTGTGGCATTTTTCACACGAATTTACTCTCCATTTACTATTTATAGTAGTTTTTCTGCAAAAATATTATTCATCTCTAATATAGTGTATTGTACTCTGACTTACTGTAGGCTCATATTTGTCGCAAATTCACAAACAGTTTGCCTATTGTTTGTCAACTACTTAACAGTTCTCTCACTCCTCCCGAACCCTCTTATACTGTCATCGATATTGATCTCATGCCTGCCTTTGGTTTGCATAGAGTCTGAGACCTGAGTTTATATTTACAAAACTTATTGTCAAATATTTTCTTTAAATAATAATTTCTTTCTTATCATTATTTGTGGTCAAAATCAGCAAATATTATTCTCACCGAAATTCTCACACAAAAATGTGAATCCATTTGATATTGAAAATCTGATTGCAAAACACAGCCATAACTATGATTCAAACAACATTATAGCAAAAGTTATTTTCCAAATATTTTCTATTTATTGAGTTTCAGATGGATTTTGAGAACCGATTTGGTAACTGGTATTAGTTTACGGGTCATAAACGCTGATAACATTCCTATCATTATATTAGGCATA